GGCTGCTCCTAATTTTATGCATCTCTTATCAACAAGAGCCTGTCCGTTATCCGCCTTGGAGTAAGACACTAATAAATAGTGAGGAGCGCATCTCAGGTGTGGTTGGGATAAGCATGACCAAGTCCCCTGCTGCGCAGGGTTGGGACCTGGCTGCGCGCCCAGCTGCAGCCGCAGGGCTCCTCCGGGCCCCAGTCTCTTTCTTCTGCCTTTTCTCCTTCCTGACTTCCCTTCAATCTCTGCCCTCGGCACCGTCTTCCTTAAGGAGAACTTTTGTGCCTGAAACGAGAGGGGACGGTGTTTTGTGGAGTGAATGACTTCATACCTGTGTGCGTGAAAGCTTTTCCCGCGTGCAAGCTCCTGATGTCTGAGCAGTTATTTCGTGTGTAGTGCAGAATTTTTTTTTTTTTTTAGCTTATCTCTCAAATTAGTTGGTGCGGTTAGGAATTCAGATGCTTATTTTCATACGAAAATGGCAATAATATGTAAAAGGAGCTTTCAAATAAATAGACTGTCCAGGCACAGAGTTCAAGGAATGTGATGTGAAGTGAAACTTTTGGTAATGCTGAAAAATATCGGCATATATTTAAATGCTTTGTAAGAAAAGGGCCTTTATCAATGCTTGTGGGGACTGACTCGAGCCGCTTGCTCCTGTGGCTCAGTGTTTGCGAGTGTGCAGCTGTCTGTGAATGGTACTGAGAAACCCTTTCTATCCAGCCCAACCGCTCTATAGCCCCTTTTTGTCATTTTTTTTGCAGAGGAAGCTTGAAGTCATTTACTCTACTGGTACCAAAAGAGACAACACAACAGGAAAATAATTTTGGAACTTAATTGTTGGAAGGTTTGTTAGGGTTGTTATTATTTTCTCTGTCAGTGCTAGGATCCCCCAAATAGTGGTAGATTGATTTTACTTGCTTAAGGTTGGTGTCAGCATGAGTTCAAAATGCCTCCACCGGTTAAACTACCAGTAGGAGCTACGTGCCTATATATGCTGTTAGTTTATAGCAGTACGTTTTGGCTTTGATGTTATGTTTTGGAAACTAGATGACTTTGATTGTAAAAGCATTGTCTAGAAGGCCGGAACGGCTTGCTAACGCTGGGCAAACGCAGGACCCTGGGCTTGCCTTTGCTGCGGCACCCTGCCGGCACCCTGGCTCTTAGGGAAGCGGTATTGCCTGTGGTCTCTGAGGGTTTTTTTCTGTCTCTCTGACAGATTTTGTCTGGTTTTAGTTTTTTAGTTTTATTTTTCCCAGATGGCGGAGCAGGCCGCTAGCATCTACTTTGTGACAGACAGTGACGAGGCTGTTCTCGTTCAGGAGGAAGGTTTGCTTTAGTTTGGGAAGGAGGTGAGGACTTCTGCTGCTGCCTTAAATACTTGTGTGTGTGTGTGTGTGTGTGTGTG